CTTGAACAAAGTAATCAACCATTTTCAAGTATACGTAAAAGATGATTAAGTGTTGATGTTGTGTGAAGAAAACCACAATGCGAATTTATAAAATATGTATCAAGTTTCCATATTGCACTAGAAAGTCACATTAGAAAAAAAAAGAAGATATTTACATAATTTTAGTTGAATAAAACATAAAATAATTGTTGTTATAAACGAAAGAAAACTCTCATTATGTACTTTAATATTCGATGAATTTTTATTGACTTGATCAATTTAAATAAACATAGTGACTATGTCTACACTTAAGATATGTTAAAAATCATTAAAACTATGAATGAAAGAAATACAATTCTTTTCAAATATGGTAAAGTCATAAGCAGTTTAGAATGTCTATTAAAGATGTTATAAATAGTTGTATCATAAAAACTGAAGTGTGTGAAATAATAACTTTAATAACTCCAAAACTATACATAACTAAAGTCATGGAGGAAATAGAAATAAGCTTTAAATCTTTAGTTTTTAATTTGAACACTATTTTTTTATTCTTATTTTGCGAAATCACATTAAAAGATATTTCTATTTTTAACCTAAGCAATTTTGCTGATACAGCTACATTTAGTAGTTCATCAGGTAAAGTTGAACGTTCATCAGTCCAAACTTGACGAAAAAATGAATTCACTGTGTATAACTATATATTTATATTAAAATAAGAAACAAGATATTGAAATCAGTTATTTCATATCATATCAAGTTCTGCAATAGGTCCTAAATAAAATAATATGTGGAAGAATAGATATACTTTTTTTTGTAACTTACCTAAAAAAATCTTCACGTCTTACTCTATAGCACTTCACTGTCTCCTTAAAAATGGAGATATCGATGAATCATTTCGTATTATAATTTATTCATTTCTCCTGGTTAAAAACACCCTCTGCTAGAATATCCTCTTGAAGTGATAAAGAAATAAACCATATGTCTCTTCATTTATCTTTCATTTCTCCATGTGAGTGGAGATATAGATGAACCATTTCGTAGTAAAATTTATTTATTTCTGCTGCTAAAAATTCATATCTACTAGATCATGCTCTTAGAGTGGAAAAAGAAATAAATCATATATCTCTTCATTTATCTTTCATTTCTCCATGTGAGTGGAGATATGGATGAACCATTTCGTATTAAAATTTATTTGTTTCTGCTGGTTAAAAACAATATCTGCTAGAATATCCTCTTAGAGTTAAAAAATAAAACCATCCGTATCTCTATTTTCTTCTTAGAGTTCTCCTTATTAGTGGAGATATGGATGAACCACTTCGTATTAAAATTCATTTATTTCTGCTTGTAAAAATTCATCTCTGCTAGAATATCCTCTTAGAATGAAAAAAGAAATAAACCGTATATCTCTTCATATATCTTCCATTTCTTCTTATAAATGGAGATGTGAATCAACGTTTAGACCTCGAATTGTTTCGACTTGTATGGGAAAGGAATATCCCCTTGACTTTACGTGGGTAAACCGTTTCTCCCTGAATTGTAACAGTTTCTCTCGTTTGGGGGATATGGTCCATCCTTCAAGAAGGTGCACAAAGACAAGGTCTTATGTTAGATTCAAATGATGAA